TTCCCTTCTGTAATAAGGGGATGATCAGACCTCCCCAGCTATGCCTTGTGCAGCAGCATCCTCTGATGAAACACAGCAAGGACGAAGTATTAATAATCGTTCCATATAGAAAAGCCAAGGGGTCACAGGTATTTAAGTACAGTTTAGCTATTCAGTGCTCCTTTATTCATGCACCATGCCTTGATGTTAATAGAAGTTATATATTGATATGGAATGGAAAAGTAGGCCCTTCAGGGCACAAAAATAACCATATCCAGAGCACCACTGAATAAATACAATATAAAGATGAAATCACTCCAAATACTGAACAAATTGAAAGGCAAGGAGATATTAAAGACGAAAAACAAAGTCACCCAGCCCTCCTCCCAGCTGCCGCCTAACTGCCCTCGGCACAAAAACACGGACAAAAGGAGTGTCAGGTACCAAGAGGGGATGCTACAAGCGGTCCCATAAACAGTTACGTGTTCTCAGTCCTCCATTTCTTTACCCCTTTGCCAGACCTTCTCAGTCCCCTGCCTGCTTAATGCCAACTGCTGCACCTCTGGCCAGATGTCACCCTCTCCTCACACCCACCGTCCCCATCACTTGTGTGAACGCCCTCTTGCACGAGCGACCTCTGACACTGCTGTCGGGACCAGGGGATGAGCAAAGCCCTGCTGTTCCTATTGTCTAAGCCACCTTTGCTCATTTTATTTAGATGAGCAGCTGCACTGGCAGATTTTGGGGAGGATCTTGGTGATGAGCAGTCTGCAGCAGAGCTCTCTCCACTGGACCACTGCAGCCACAGGAGGGTACGTGTTTAAAGCCTTGTGTGCCCTCCTGTCTATTCCTTTGGTCCAGATATTAAAATAATTTCCAAAAAATCAGTGTTGCATCATGTTGTGCGACAGTCAAGCTGCTTATTCTTTGCACAGCCTCTTGGATCGCACTGAAATAACGTGCATATGCTTTTGGGGCAGCAACTAGAGTTTATTTTAAGAGGTGCTTTAGGATCAAGACAGTCACCACTAGCTCTTCACATTTACTATTCAGGATTATTGGACCACAAGTGACCTTTCAGATTCTTAAGACTTGGATTACGAAGGGCTTTATATACTAAGCCT